CGCCGCCTGGCCTTGGCTCCTCACCTCCCCGCCAGGGCTCTGGCGCGCGCGAGTGCTGGGGCCTTCAGCTGCTGAACTTGGTTAAGAAACTGCGCGGCGCCCTTTTGAATGGTGGAGCTTTGGGGAGATCTTGGAGGCGAGATGTTTCATCTTCTCTGCAGGTTACACTGACAAAAGACAGCCACACAGATCTGGTGTTTCTTAACTATTCTTAATGGTATTTTATACTTTTGGTGTGCTCTGTAGGGAGCAGCCCCCTTTCTGAGGGGTTAAACGTGATCCAGACACAGTTAAGCAGCCTAGCAATCTTTTTAATAGTTGTATCAATGATCTGGGTGCAGGAGTTGGATGCACCATGAGCAAGTTTGCTGATGATGCCAAACTGGAAGGTGCTTTTTACTCTCTTGAGGGACATGAGGCATTGCAGACAGATCTAGATAGGTTGGAGCATTGGGCAAACATCAACAGCATGAAATTCAACAAGAACAAATGGCCGGTTTCTGCACCTGGGATGGAATGATACTGGTCACAAGTATAAACAGGAGTGGCTGATGTGGAAAGGGATCTGGGGATGCTGGCTGATGGCACCTCGACAGGAGTCAGCTGTGTGCCCTGGCAGCCAAGAGGGCAAACCCCATCCTGGAGTGCATCAAACACAGCATGGCCAGCTGAGTCAGAAGAGTGAATTATCCCGCTGTGTTCAGCCTCGGTGCAGCCTCGCCTTGAGAACTGTGTGCAGTCTAGGCCCCACAATTTAAGAAGTATATGAAAGTGCTTGAGTGCATCCAGAGGAGGGCAACAAAGCTGGTGGACGGGCTGGGAGGCATGTCCTATGAGGAGCAGCTGAGGGCTCTGGGTTTGTCTAATTTGGAGAGAAGGAGGGTGAGGGGTGACCTCATTGCTCTCCACAGCTTCCTGAGGAGGGAGGTGAGGTGGGAGGTGCTGAGCTCTTCTTTGCATGGGAATGGTTCAAAGTTGAACCAAGGGAAGTTCAGACTGAACTTTAGGCAGCATTTCTTTACTGGGAGTGGTCACACACTGGCACAGGCTTCCTGGAGAGGTGGTTGCTGTCCCAAGCCTGTCAGTGTTTAAGAGGCATTTGGACAATGCCTTTAACAACACGCTTTAACTGCTGGTCAGCCCTGAAGTGGTCAGGCAGTTGGACTACATGACTTTTGCAGGTCCCGTCCAACTGAAATATTCTGTTCTGTTCTCTTTGTACATAGTTGCTTCCTGCTCTAACAAGAAGCTAGAGCATATTAGCCACCTGAAATGGTAACTGACAAGACTTGGTGCTATTGCAGCCTGGGTCGCTAAATAAAAATTATGTTTAAAGCTAGCTTTGTGTTGTTTGGTACAAACCTTTCACCCACGTACAGTGTAAAATTCATCTCTGTGATAGATATGCTGACAGATCCCAGCTTGGTTCTGTTGTAGATGGGGTCTCTTCTATTCATAACAGTGCTGATGAAATGGGAGCATAAATTCTCAGGTCAATTTCTAAAGTAAATTGTGTGTTAATAGTAGCACCCACAGAACTAAAACAAAAAAAATAGAGGACGTATATATAACAGCTTACTTCTGTGCTGCTGATTTTTCCCATCCGTTCACTTTTCATCCATAACAAAAAGATTGCAGCTATATGCTTCTAATTAAATCAACAGAAGAAGTCACCAAGCAGGATTGTTTGTAGAAGTCTCCATAATGGTTTCCTGATACTCCATGGTGAGTAAACTGCACATATGTTTTATGCTGATTGAAACTTTAAATATTGGAAATTCATGGTTAGTTTTAGTATCTATAGAACTTTTTAAAATTTAAATTGCTTCTATATTGTCACTCCTAGAAAGCAGAACTTTGAACTGAATGCAGATTTCTATGTAATACAACCAAGAGACTTGTCGTAACTTCAGCTGTTGTCAGAGGAGTAAATACCTCTTTTTGGGTTTTGTTCTAGGGAATTCACTCTCTTAAAAGAAAATGTCTACATCTAACATTGCAGCAAGAGCGGAAACTTGGCTTTCATCTACGTGGCACGTTAAAGTTCCTTTGACATGGCTGGAAGCGTGTATTAGTTGGATCCAGGAAGAGAATAATGGTAGTAACTTAAGCCAAGCTCAGATTAACAGGCAGGTATTTGAGCAATGGCTTCTTACAGATCTGAGAGATTTGGAGTATCCCATTTTGCCTGACTGCATCTTAGATGCTCCCAAAGGAGAGCTGTCAGGCTTCTACTCCATACAGATTGATTCACTGATTGATGTTAGCCAGCCAGCATATTCCCAACTGCAGAAGCTAAGAGGGAAAAATACTGTAAATGAAGAAGTAACAGCCAGTACTCAGGCATTCCAGAAGCCATGGGAAGCAAAGCCCACTCGAATGCTGATGCTGCAACTAACTGACGGGATACATCAAATTCAGGGCATAGAATATCAACCAGTGCCTGTCCTCCACAGTAATCTTCCTCCTGGAACAAAAATTGCTATACAGGGTAATATTGCATATCGTCTTGGAGTCCTTCTGCTTAAACCAGAAAATGTAAAACTGTTGGGGGGCGAAGTGGATACTCTTCTGGAGGAGTATTCTCAGGAAAGAGTCCTTGCCAGATTAATTGGAGAAACTGAAAACCCTAATCCTGTTGGACAAGCTGGTCGTGACCAAATTGTTTCAAGGGCTGTGAATGAATTAGAACAAACCTTAGGCCCTTCAGATGAAGAGCTTTTAGCAGGTCTTGATGAAAATAATGAATTTACTTTAAACAATGAAGCATCTATAGAAAGCGGATACTGCAGTAGAAGCAACAATTTTAGTGCAGCCTCAAGTTCACTAAATGCACATAATGGAAATGTTTTGCTACAGGAACCTGGAAGTCCTTTGCATTATTCACATGATCAAGTTTCACCTTCTGTTGAATATGCTGATGTTTTTTTAAACGACTTTCCTTTAGAAGATGACTTGCTTTTAGAAGAAGAGATGCAAAGAGAGCTGGAAGAAGTGCCACCAGTGGTCATGAACAGAAATACGGGTTTGATTACTGACAGACATCCAGATATATCTAGAAGCTCCTGCAATTCATCTTTAAATGGCACTTGTGAAAAAGATGATGTGAATGGAAGAAATAAGCCTGCAGAAGCTACCAGCAAGCAAAAGACTTTTGTAAGAACTGTATTTGATGGAGATGGAAGTAGTACGAGTAGCTTTTCACAGCGCAAGAGTGTAGATCAGACCTGCAGTTCTACAGATTTTTCTTTAGAAAATCTTCCTGAAGAAAGGCAGGATGACACAGACCTAGATAAGAACAGATGTAAATTCCAGCACACTTCTGACAGCAGGCTGTTAAATGACAATACTGTATTTTCATCAAAAATGGATCCAGAAGTAGATCAGCAGAAGCATGATTCACAGACCTTCCCTTGCAGAGCAGTAGATTTAGATTCCCCACCTTTCACATATATTTCCCTTCTCCTTGCAAAAAAACCAGAAACTGTTACAATTCTGAAAGTTAAGTGTTTTATTGTTACTCTGACTGGAAACCTCACAAGCAGCAATGGGTCCTGGAGTATAAAGGCAAAAATTTCTGATGGTTCAGCTTACCTTGAGGTAGATTTTGCTGATGATATTCTAACAAGTTTGATTGGTTTTTCAGTGCCGGAAATGAATAAGCTGAAAAGGGATCCAGCTTTACACCTGAAACTTAAGCAAGGTTTAGAGAAATGTCAAAAACAGCTGATAGATCTCTGTTGTTTGATGACTATAGAGTTTAATCCACTTCAGTCTAAAGCCACTGTATTAACTCTTCAGGATGCTGATATGAGACATCTAGAACAATTGAAGAAACGTTTGAATAAATAACATGTACAAATTTGCACTCTGTGTATTAGGAGACATTTAAGTCAGATTTCCCCCAAAGGACTATTTAAAGTTAAATTTTAAAGTTAAGTTTTCTTTTATCAGGAAAAATAGAAAAATGAGAGGAGGAGATGACTTGTTAGAGCAAAATGTATGGTGATAGTATTATAAGCTTCTAAATATTTCTGCCTTGATTTAAAATACCCACATATTATTTCAATTCTGCAAAATCCTCTGTGTCCTTGACTGGTGATCTGGAGTAGCAGGAAATGGATAACAAGGGATCTTATTGTTACAGTTTTTCAAGGGTGATTACTTACCTGATTTTTAAAAGGTAGATAGGAGACTGTCAGTCTTTTCTTGGAGGCAAGTGGTTGAATAAATTGAAACAAATATTTACAGTTTAAATGTGGTGAATTCTGTCTATGCCAGCCTGAAAACTCACATATGTATTCAGTGTGCAAAAACCTGAAAGGTAGAGAAATTAAAGACTCTTTTAGATGTTTAGGGAGTGCAGGGAAGAAAAGCCCAATCCTATATATAAATGAGATTAAAAGCTGTATATTTTTTAAAAATCAATCAAACAAAAACCCAAATATTTTTTAATATTTTATTAACAGAAAAGAGTGACTATAACATATGGGGAAATCTTATTTTTGTCATATTAATAATTGCTAATAGTTTTGATACCACAGGCAACCTTATTCATTAACTTGTGGTTACTTGTATAACCTTTTCAGAGAGTAGTCAAATACTTGTGCTGACAGCCTGTTGTTTATGTATATTTAGTGTTGCTCTTATTTTTTATTGGTTTTTTTATTTAAGTTTCTTTTAGAGTGTATAAAAATAAATATATTAAAGTTTTCATATAAACTTTGATGGAAGCTATTTTGTTACTTTGAAAGAAAATACACATCTTGTTGAGTGTATAGAGCATCAGAAATGGTTTGATTGATAGGGTTTTTTTGTTCTCCCTTTTCCTTCTTCCTATCCTTCCTTCTCTAGGTGTTTTCTTTGTTTGTTTGGTTTGTGGTGGTTTTTTTTTCCTTTGAAATTTGAAGAATTAGAATTCTGCCAGGAGCAGGGGACTAACGACAAGAGAAATCTGCATGATATTGGTAATGTTTCCAAAGAATGTAAAACCGGTAGCCAGGAGAGGCATTTTTCAGTTGCGCTGTCCGTATATACATTGTACAGAACCTTTTCTTTCTCTGAACAATGTCTGTTAGACCATTGTGAATTGCTGTAAGAGACTGTCAGTATTGCCCTACCGCTTTGTCCCCAATTGAGAAGCATCCTTTGAGACTCCAAGTGACATAAGGAAAACTAGAGGTAATTTGCTAAGTAAGGTAAAAATGGAAGAAGGTGGAGGAGGGGGAATCTTGAGAATTTTCAAGCTCAAGACATGAGCTTTTTTTAGGCTTTATCTGATAGTTTAGAAAGGCATAAATTCCTGTGTCCATTTCCTTCCTCTCCTCCCTTTCCCTCCCCACTCTGAAGAGAACCTTAGCAAACTATAACCTTGTGAGTTATCTTTAGTCTTAATTCCTGAGGCTGTTGAAGGTTGTGCATAATTTAGAACTGCAGCAGCAAAAGCTTCTACCTGTGTAGAACCTATATTGCTGCATCTTTATTTACAGTTTCAGAAAAAATTTGCTTGTTAGTAGGAAACTGACCAAGCTTCATCTCATGTAATTCCTGTGAAAGGTATTATAGCTGACTTTAAACTTCTAGTACAGTTTTATGGAAACATTTCTTTTGTGGTGAGTTATGGAAATTTCCTTTGAAGTTTTGGCCTTGCCATATAAAACAATAGGGGTAATAGGTAAACAGATAATCCACAGATATTATTCTACTTGTGCAAAGCTAGAGGAATGTCATTCAAAGTGCGGAATCGAATAAACTGTCTTTGTTTCAGCTGATGAAGTTACATCTGCCCCCCTTCTTCTGCATTTCTATTAAGCTTTAGCCATCTCTGCTAAAAGAAGTTCATGTGTCTTCCTCCTCCCCTGCCTTAAAGGCACTGTTATTTGTTTAACTTTTCCTTCTTCCCTTCCCTCTATTGTCCTTGTCTTCATTTTCAGATGGTTCTCTCCGGTGGCTATTCCTGTGCCTGTTCCCCAGTGCAATCAAGAAGGTGAATCTCAGTACTGCTAGCTGTTTAGAGCTTGATGGCTGTGCAGATATTTCAGTGGAATTTTCTAGCATATAATGTTTCCGGATTGGTGTTCAAACTTTTAGAATTAAAGTATTGCATAGTTTTGCAGTCAAGAAAAGGAATGAAATAAAGTGATTTTGAGAAAGCATGTTTAGTAAAGAGTAGTATGTGAAAAAAAATGGCATGTGTGACAGTGTGTACTGGTCATTGGTTCATGCCTTACCCACTTTATTGGCTCTCAGAACCAACTTCTCTATTACCAGTCTTAATGCTTTTGTGCTCTGTGTGTGTATTGCTTCAGTATGCCAAGCACTGATGCATATCATGATCCTTCAGGTAATCAGAGTTCTAACAGGCTAAATTCGGAGTACAGGCTTCAACAGCAACTGACTGTGATGGTGATCTGGAGCAGTGGTACAACCAAACTCCTGCTGAGGAGTGTAACAGAACTCCTGTACGAGTTGCTGAAGGTAATTGTCACGGCAGCTGCTCTTACAAATTGCAGACAGCCTTCTAGCATGAAGCATTCCTGCACTTTTCGGTCGTATCTTCTCCATGCTATTTTACAAACTCACTTTTTCTTGTTAAAAGTGTTTCAGCTGCTAACCAGACGTCTGCACCTGCAGTGTATCTGACTGTTTCAGAAGCTGTGTTCTTCAGGAATGTTTTCATGTTAATGGGAAAAATAAACTGCATTTTTTCATTGCTAATCACAATGGAAACTTGCAACTAATTCAGTTTCAAGGTACAAAACCTACACGGTTCTCACACAGTGACTTGGATGTTATTATATTAGCAATGAAAGTCTCCTCCTGCCTTTCTTACGGTTATTAAAGAAAATGAAAACAATACATTGGCTACGGTGGTGTCAGGTAACTGCATCAGAATATACCATTTAAAAGCTTTGTCACTAAGGCAAGGTAGTAGAAAAAATAAAGTTTGCAGAAACTTTGCTGTGCCTTACTTTAAATGTATTCACTTTCAAACTGTAGAACAAGGCAGTGACTGGGTCAAAGAATGTGGCATCTTTCCAAATAAACTAGCTTGCAAGGACAGCTTGAGGACTAGCTTAATCTTACTGGATACTAGTTTGGCCACAACGATGCATGTCATAATAACCCAGCAACTTCCTTCTCGTTGCATGCAGGCAATGACCTACAGAAGCAACAGCTAGTTGAGATAATGTCATTTTTAAGTATCAGGAATATTTAGGGATTTCTTAAAGGGTGTGTTGTACTACTCCAGTACTGTGACTTCACACAATAAAAATCAGATGTTTCAGGTCATGTCAGTAGAACAAATTTTCACAGAATCCAGGTACGGAACATGATTAGATAGAACAGGAAACTTAACATTTGGTTATGAATATAAAGCCCTATTTCTTAATGCCTTGCTCTAATAATGTCTGATTATTATCTGTTAATTTCTATTTAGAATGAAAAGGTAGTAAGTTTAAGCTTTTTGTTACAGGGAAGGAAGAGTGATTTAGAGTACAGTACTCCTGAGCTATCTGGTGGCAAGCAAACTTTAGTGTATTTTCTTGAGGAGGAAAGGCAAAACAGACTTTAAAATGTGAATAGTATTATTGTAGGAGAAGGAACAGAATGCTGACAGTAAGGACAGCAAGTGATAGGTTAAGGGCGTTGCAACTCTTTAATTCAACAGAAGGGGTAGAAGTTTCCTACAAATCAGCTTTTCATCTAAATGTGCATGTGGCATAGTTTTGTATCAGTGTGTTAATTTTTAATCTTGTTTCCTTTAAGGATTTTTGTTTACCTCTTTACATGGGGTTTTGTGGCAGGATGAAGTTGTGCTGCATTGCTTTCAGAATTTGTCCTGCTTCTGATTGTTAGCCTTCTCTTAAGGCTGAACAAACTCAGTTCTCTCATGCTCTCCAGGGAGTGGCATGTGCTCTGGCTCCCTGACCACTTTGGCAACCATCTGCTGGTCACCTGCTTCACTGTGTCAGTGGCTTTTTTGTGCTAGAGAGCTCTAAATAGGACACAGTACTCTATATGCGGTCTCACAAGTGCGGAAAGTAGAAGGCAGCTTGCTTTCTTGTAGTGGCTTGCTGCTCTCATAGACCCTGGTGTGTGGCTAGTCATTGCCACTGCAAAGTCACACTGCTGACACATGCAACCAGTCTCAATCAGTAAAGCTTTCTAATTAGTTGGCTCCTAACCCATACTGTGTCATAGGATTATTTCTGCAAAGATGAAAGACTTTGCATTTGCCTTTGTTGAACTTAAGGAGGTTTCTGTCAGTCCATATGTCCAGCCTTCTTTAGCACTTCTTTAGCACTGACTGCTTTCTTTCCTTTTCTTCCTACCACACCACCCTGCCATGTCTGGAACTTCCTGATTGCTGTGACCTTTGCAATGTCATAGAGAGTAGCCTTGTGGTGATGTAAGCCAGCACCCTCAGCAGCACTCCATCTGGTCCCGTGAAGAGGTGTATGTGTCTACAGGGTAAAGTACACTTTTCACCAGGAGGTGCTGGTACATATGATCTCGATAAGAAAAACATGGACTCTGTCAAGAACCATTTGAAACGCTGGTTATTAGAGATAGCACTTCTGCTATCTGGGTAAAGGCAAGGCCACGCAGGTGGTATAATCACTGGTACCAAGGAGGAGCTGTCCACCAGCTTCCCTGGCACTATGCACTGTCAGAGCTTATCCTGCATCCGTGGGATGTGCAGCTGAAGGCAGCCTGAAGACCATGCTGGGCATGCACACCACAGGCCTGTGCCTGCTCGAGTTAACTGTGGTGGGCATCACTGACCCCTCAATGTGTAGTGGTCTGATCAGGATGGCTGCGCTCCCTTTCCCATCCCTGCAGTGGAT